GATGCAAGTCATGCGATCAGACTCAAGTAAGTACACCAGTTGTCAAGCAAATCCATGTAGGCCTTGTATGTGCGGTCCCAGGACCTTCTTAACAGCCCCGCACAGACGGAAATTGTAAAATGGGTGAAGAAAATCCTTAAAATAAGAGAAATACTTGAAAAATGGTTCAGAGCCCTGAATAAAAGTTTGGAAGATAGATAGATGTGTCACGATGTTTTACCACGAAGAGCCCATATGAAAGAAAATCGTTCCCTGAAAGTTACGTAGTAGGGAACCTATTTACGTCCTATTTTGTTTTGTATCATTCTCTGAGGTCTCCCGTACTAGCGTATATTCGGTAGATATCGATCGAAACCACTACTTCAGATTCAAAACGATTGGAATGCGTGGCGCGACTACCAGCCAGTGTTTCTACAGTCGTGATTCGCACGCATCGGCAACCGACTATGTTGAGGTAGGGAATCGATCGAGTCTTGGGTCTTTCAATCGATACCCTCGAGAAAGACATAGGAAACCATAGATGATGGGAAGGATTTACCGTATGACATTTCAGTTTTCTGGCGGCAAAGAGGAGGACAAGCAGATCAATCAACGCTACATATGTGCCCGATACCCATTCGTGGAGGAAGGCGAATTCGTTATGAGTGCTTCACGACCGCTTGTTATTACTCATGTAAGCAGCGGTGATCCGAAAAACCGCGGTATACTCATGGAGTACTCGACGATCAACGTTGGTGAGTCATATGATGTTTACTATTTTCGGTAGGAGACCATAATATAGTAGATGGGGACACCCGAAAGTAAATAATAGGCAATGAGGCGGTATAGTTCTTAGTGCCTGATTAATAGGCTTTTTAGAATGCCGTAGGGATGAGCAGCATTGACAGACGCCTGGGTGATAGCCTGGGTCCAGACCTGGGTGATACTGCCGTCCCTTGAATCCCTCTTCGCGTCGTCTCGGCGACTCTGCCTCCTGGAATCATGGCTTTTCGGGCACCTTTAGAATGAATGAGCACAAACCATTATGGATCTCTTAGCTAGGCTCCAGCGCTTACACCATTTGGGGAACAAGCGTGCACGTCTTGATCACCGCTACGCATGATACAATGCGTAGCGGTCGTCTCAAATCGTAGGCTCATCACAAGTGTGAACGCTGTTTCATAGAGCAAACGAGGGCGAGGCTTACTCATAAGCGTGAAAACTGCCTAAGTGTTGAGAAAACTGATCAGATCAACCCAACCTCTAAAAGCTGGCAGTCAATTGACTCTATTTTACTGTTCGCTCAGTCAGGCTACTCTGCGCATCGAATTTCCTCTCAACCAGTTTAGTCTGAAAGGCCAAGATTTTTATCCAGAGTTGCGTATGGGATATATGTGGGTTACTGGGTACTCTGTAGTGTTATGAGGGGAGTTGAACATATTTTCTGGTTTTCTCGCTGTAGTAATTATCAAAATACTTCAGGTTGCGGAGGTGTTTTCTCGCAGTCAAGCGGTACTATCAGCTCTCCGAACTATCCAGATAAATACCTGCCTCATATGCATTGTGTATATCAAATCCAAGTACCTTGGGTAAGATTTGCTTACCGTACATCTCTAGGCATGCAGAGTTTAGAGAAATTCTACAAATATACTATATTGCTGATTGACAAATGAGCTGAAGGACTTTCGGTACATCCGATTAACGGCTGGTCGTTTGATAGGAGTATCTGGAATTGAAGCATTCAAGATGACTTTTCACACCAGTTGGACCCTTACATTGGCCGGTTTCTGCGACCTGTCAGATGTCAAACTTTTTGGAAGGCAGGGAGAAAGGACAGTAAAATTTGATAACGTTGTTCCTCAACTTGAGGTCGGAAGCCCCACTAGCCGCTAAACTCGCCTATATACGAGTTGAGTCCTACCGCATGTTCTTCATACGTCGAAAATGAAAGCTGGTATGGTAAGGAGCTTATGAAAGTATGGAAGGGGGAGGGGGCTAGGGAGATAAGTCATTTCTAGTTTAAAGCCTTCCTAAACCTTCGAAGCCGGAAACAGTGGCGAGGAAAGCAACAGGAAATACGTTGAACAAGCTCCAAAGCTGATAAACCTAAAGGATTAGTTGCTTCTTCGAAAGCAGTAGATTTGGATTTGTCACTTAAGTTGTGACGTTTTAGTCAAAGCAAGTCCGACTCACGTTTGACAATTTCGACATCGAAGTGGTACAGAACGATGAGTGCTCCTACGATAACGTCGCTGTTTACGAGTCCTACGTCAGTCCGAGCGAACACGGTAAACTACTGGGAAAGTGAGTTTCTGAATTTCGAATTACGTCGAGAATTCCTAAAAGTCAGACCGCTATGTGTTACATTTGGGTAAATAGTTAGCTGAATTTTCTAAACTCGGTTTTCATTTCCCACGTGCCTGTAGTGAAAATTTCCGGCAAAGAGATTACCTACCAATGAGAAGGAAATTTCCAACAGTGAACGCCAACAAAGTTTTCTTTGGCATGGATGGAAGAGAATGTCCGAGGCAAATTAGGTTTACAAATTTCGGTTTAGAACATGGAGTGCGAAAGCTGAATAAATCCTCACCTTCTTCGACTGTCAGGAGGAGTACAATATAATACATATATGTAGGTCTTAGGGAGTACGGTACATGCACAGCTACATTTATGGGATCGTATAGCATAATATGTTGCTTCATTGTGAAGAGAGTCGTACGAATGCCTTGATGTCCATTCGAGGGGCAGCAGCCGTAAAGGAGAAGAGAACCAAACCTGGAGCCGTCTCAGCGAACAGCTGTCCGTCGATCCATCGCGCACATAGAGTCCGACTTCAGCATCGTTTTTCGCGAATCCTCCAATCAGAGCTTTCTGTTATGGTTGAAGGTTACCGTTCGCTCCATCTATCGACTGCGTTCAAAGCTTACCGTATACCCACGGGTTCCTTACTACAGAGAAAGGACCGGTAACCATGTGTCTTAACCATCATCGGTTTTTGACGAAGTCAGGGTAAAATCACGATAAAGAAGATTTGTGAAGGCTGACAAAAACCAAAGTCATGAAAGTGTCATAAAAACGAAGTAGGAACCTCCAGAAAGAAGCCATTTTGCAGGTTCTGCGGCACCATGCTTCCTCCCACACTCCTGTCGAGCTCCTATAAAATGGCCATTGTCTTCAGTTCTGATCGTTCGATAGCTGGGAACGGTTTTTCTGCAAGGTGAGCAATTTTACTTTGTACTACGAAAATTAGCAAATCTAACTTGGCAGGAGGCTGCCAAGCTACCTAACTGGCTGGAATGCTCACTGAAGTGTCCCAAGAGTGATCGGTTTCGATTTCGCTACAAGAGATCCGATTTTTCTATAGCTTCTAAAAGCTCGTGGTGAAGAAATGGCAGTAGTAATGAGATCCTTTCTTTTCCTTTCTTCCTTTTTTTATCTACAGTGTTCTGGTCCTCAACACATTACTTGAATGGATATGAAAAGTTCAATAGAGCAATTCCCACTGCAGGAGTCCAGGATGAGCTTAAGCTCTGCAATGAGTAGCCACCAAGATGTGTAGGTAAACTGCCGTTTTCAGATTCGAAGGGGTCGATTCTACTGTTGATTGTGATCGTACATTCACGGCACCAGGCGGAGAGATCGTGTTCGACGGTAAAGGCGGACGCTATTCGCAATGCGATTTCCACATTTCTGTAAGTGATACCAGATTTGGAAGAAATTCCTTGAACAACGGTTGAGTATGTCAAAGTAGCTTTAGTTCCAAAAATTTTTTTTTACTTCCAGGTAATTTCGACAGCTCGAATAGTCTTGAAGATGAATAACATGAGC